GGGAGGGAAGGAAGGAAAAGGAGGAAGGGAGGAAGGAAGGGAGGGAAGGAAGGAAAAGAAGGAAGGAGGGAGGGAAGGAAGGAAAGAGGGAGGGAGGGCAGGGGAAGGAAAGAGAAGGAAGAAGGAAGTAGAGGAAGGAAGGGAGGGAAGGAAGGAAAAAGGGAGGGCAGGGGAAGGAAGGAAAAGGAGGAAGGAAGTGGAGGAAGGAAGAGAGGGAAGGAAGGAAAGAGGGAGGGAGGGCAGGGGAAGGAAGGAGAAGGAGGAAGGAAGGGGAGGAAGGAAGGGAGGGAGGGAGGGAAGGAAGGAAGGACGGACATCCAATATTCTTTACAGAAGCTATAAATACATTTATATTTTATAAATGGTCTCCATATTTCCACAGTTTATCCTTTCTAATCATTGGACCCCTAAATTACAAGATTCCCCCCCCCCCCAATTTTCAGCAAAAAGTCAAAAGCAAATAAATTGACAAGTCTGAATCTTACCTCTCTGGGCTTACATTCCCTGTCCCTTGAAGTCCTATTGACTTTTAAGGCAAGAAACGTTGTGACCTCGAGATCCCTGGATCTCAAGAGGTTGGCAAGGCTGCTCCTCGCTAGATTCCCTCCATCTCCTTTCCGCCGCGCCTTCTGGAAACCTGGGAAACCGAGGCCGGAATCCTTTTATCTGCGCTCACAATCTGACATCGACAATCTGCAATTTCACCGGGAGTATTTTGCAGGAGCATCCAAACTGAAAAGAGGGTGGCGCAACATGGTGCTTTGAAGCTTTGTCCTCCAACCCCCGCTGAGCATTTGAACCCAGAACCCAGACCTCTTGGCTTGCTAGCTCAGCTCGATGGCTTAGCATACTTCCTGAAGCCGAACCTAGCTAGAAACTCACCATTCAGCAATGCAAACTTGACCATGTGCGGATCTCAATTTTTTTTTTCCCCTCCTAATTCCATGTGCATTCTTCAGTTCTGCTGCTTTTGGCTTCCTATCCGTGTACCCTAACCCTAACCCTAACCCTTAACCTAATCTTACGTAGCTTTTCCTCTGGTAATATCACACTACTAACTAGAGTATACAAAACATTTGCTAGACCAATACTCGAATACACCTCATCAGTCTGGAACCCACATTACGTATCTGATATTAGCACAATTGAGAAAGTCCAGAAATATTTCACAAGAAGAGTTCTCCACTCCTCTACTCGTTGTAGAATACCTTATGCCACCAGACTCGAAATTCTAGAACTAGAAAACCTTGAATTATGCCGTCTTCGGTCTGACTTAAGCATGGTATATAAAACCATACATTGCAATGTCCTACCTGTCAATGAATACTTCAGCTTCAACCATAACAACACAAGAGCACACAACAGATACAAACTCAAGGTTAATCGCACCAAACTTGATTGCAGGAAATACGACTTCAGCAATAACAGAGGGGTCAATGTCTGGAATCCTCTACCTGACTCTGTGGTTTCTTCCCCAAACCCCCAAAACTTTAACCTTAGACTGTCTACTGTTGACTTCACCCCTTTCCTAAGAGGTCTATAGGGGGCGTGCATAAGCGCACCAACGTGCCTACCGTCCCTGTCCTATTGTTTCATTTTTCTTTTATTTTTCTTATATGTACCCATTTCATGTATTCATAACTATGTATACACTTATACTTATTATCTTGTAAACAATTGACAAATTAAATAAAAAAAAAATGTCCACCCCCGCACCCAACCCAGGACCCTCCTAACTTTGGGTTGGGGCTTCTCTGCTTTCTCCCCCAGTGCCTGCAAAGAGTGAGAGAGGCCTTCGCTTCCGTGGACAGCATGGTGCGTGTCGGACGGCTGGCAAAACTCAGCCTAGATTTCCACTCCTGCAGCCCTTTGCAAGGGGACAAAGACTGCCAAATGTTGGTCGCCAACCTCGCCGACATCTTCATGGGAGCCGTGCAGTACAACTACGAGGCGATCGTGTCGGGCACCGTGGCCGGT